TGTACAAGGAGTCTTCTTTTCTTATTTTCTCCTTATAAAACTGAATTTGTAATGGTACCTCCCTCATAGTGTCTGTAAGAGGAGGCAGGAAGAGGACCCACACAGACGCTCAGTGTGCACTTTCGCTACTAGTGATTACTCTGTGCATATCATCTGTTCTTATTGAGCTTTTGTGCTACTCGATTGTAAGCTACTCAAAGACTGGCAATAGGAATGTTCTTGGCCTTTCCCCCTTGTACAGCATCTGGACCACAAATGTACCATGTGCATGAAGGGTGACTAAGCAAAACCACGCCAAGTAGAACTTGGTGTTTAATTGAATCTCTGAGGTGAGAGCATGGGGGAAGCTTGCCCTCTTTGAATACCATCCCCAACTCGTAATCAGAAAGGAAGACATGACTCACTCGCATGCCTTTGTGCCTTGCCTCAGTTCATCAAAGGGCAGCCTGATCTCTCATTTTCCTTCCAAAAGCTGTGTTACTGAAAATGAAGTAGAAATAGGTTCATTAGTGCCAGCTGCGCTTTAGGAATATGATCTGAAATGCAAAAGTAAGAGCGTCTCTAATTAGTAGGTTATTTTTATGGGTGCAGGTAAAAGATAACCATGGAAGGGCAGCAGAGCCTGAGTCAGAAGACTCCCTAAAGTCACCCTGTGGACCTCCTTGAAGCAGTGAGACCTGGAGCTGCCTCACGGACACCATAGTAGGTTTTGCGGTACACGTGTAGGCAAACTATCACAATGTCCTCGCTTTTTTCTCACCTGTGCCTCATACCCATCCTTTCTCCCCTTCACGCCTCCCCCCGCCAAGGCAGGGGCAAGAACTTTCTGACTCTGAAATTCATCAATGAGGAAAGGGTGAACTATCCTTCAAACAGTCACAATAAAGTGTTGGTTTCTTATCCCAATGACATTTATCTTGTTAAATGCTCCCACACATAACTGGCTACTGTTCCGTGCTAATGTCACAACTATGTGCGTCTGTCACCCCTCTGGCTTCTGACGATTTGGGACATGGGATAATTTACCAACTCTTTCCAGCTCTTCTACTTCCTCATCCTCAACAGGAGAACAGAAATTTATCTTCCTTAGAGAGTAGCTGTAAGAATGGAGCAGTCATGAACTTAGCCCATTGGGCATGACATGTGCTTTGCGCAAATTCAGTACCCTTTACAAACATGTACAATTGCTCCTATCCCCCTGTCATGGGAAGTTTATTGGCTCCATTTTGAAGACCAGCAAGCTGAGGTTTAGGGAGTTTCAATAACTAGAATGGAGTTAAGGACCTAGAATCTGTACTTGGTTCTCTTCTTTCTATAGGACACTGATAATGTTCTTTTGAAGGGAAATGAAGTACCCTCTAGGAAGAAAAGATATTGAATCAGTATTGCGGCTTGAACCTAAGCTGTGATTCAAGCGCTGCATGTATAAGTAAGTCACGTTACCTCTTTGGTCCATCATATTCTTTCTGCTGAAACCAAAGACTGGTGTGGTTGCTGTCCATGGTACTTGTACACACCAGTGGTCTTAGGATATTCTAGGTAGGTAAACCTCAAAGGCCTTCCTTGAATTGCTTTCACTGGGCACACTGGCAACCCTGAAAATCACATTTACATCCAACATGGCAGACACTTGCCGGTGTGCGATGCCCGGGGCGTACCTTAGAGAGAAGCGACAGGAACCTGTCCTGCTGCAGACGGCTTCCTCGGTGCCTTGCATGGGTCTGCCTCATAGGATGTGGGATGTCATGAGGTGCTTGAAATATAACAGGGAATTGGGCCCCCACAGACCAGCGAGAGAGCAGGTGATTGTTTTAGGAAACAGGAGCTTGCCAGTCAGGTTATGCTTCAGTCACCACTCACTGCCTCTCACCTGCCGGTAACTGCTCTACCACAGGAGAGACCACGGGCCACCCACCTCTTCTTCCCTCACAAACAGGAGCTGACATCCTAGCAACTCTGGCAGGAGGCCATACTTGATGAGCAAGTGTGTCGGGTGGTGACAGCGCTTGGAGGAAAATGACACTGACTCAGAGGGTAGTGAGTCCCGACCAGGGAAGTGGTGTGGTAGGGTGTGTGGTTAGCAAAGGCCTTTCTGTATCGAGGGCTTGGCAGCAAAGGCCTGAGTGAAGCCGCGTATTCATGAGCCAGGGAGGGAGCTGGAGGGGTAAAGCCTGAGCTCACAAGGTGACCAAGCAAACGCCAGGCCCCGAGAACCGCGCTGTAGCACCCGGACCAAGTGGGAGGACCTCACTCTGTCATTTCCAGTAGCTCCAAGCCTGACACGTTTCTCACACCAAGATATCAGCCTTAAACACGAATGCAAAAGACTTGACCGTTGACATTTACTCATGGGACAAGCTGAATGACTGACTGTACAGGAGCGTTCCCTGGGGTGAGAAAACAGACGTTCCCTTTGGGGGCAAGAGGTGACATCTGTTTGACAATCATCTTTGGACAAGAAAAAGATCCAGGAATCAATGAACTACAAGTTTGGAAACATTTCATGTTTCAAAGTTACAGGGTTAATAGACTCATTAGAATGCCACAAAACAGTTTTTGGTGGGGGTGGCCTTTGGGTCCTGTATTCCTATGCTGATGAGAACTGGTGCCCGTGTTTGAATTTTTCGTTCATTTAGAGCTGCGTGGATGAAGGGGAAGAAATAATGAGCTTTCTGTTAAACCATGAGAGTTTAGATCTCGGTCTCCAGATTCACTAGAGAACCTGGAACCTGCTACGTCCTTTCTCCGGGGCATAGCATTCTGTCTGCAGAGCTTGTACTCATACCCACGTTCCGCGTGGCTGGTAGGAAGCCATGTGCATGAGGGATGGAAGCATGGAGGGGAGTTTCCAGATAAGGCATGATCTCTGCCCTCTGGAAGCTTATCTTCTGGTTGGAAAAATATATACCCAACCAAAAATATAAAAAATGTATACTTTTGGCTGTAATATGACACATCCTAAGTGGGGAAAGTGCCATGAAAACACAAAATATCAGATTTTAGTGGGAGAGGTGTAATGAAGGAGTCGCAGGAAACTGACAGCAGATGTGGTGTGGAAATGCTTTTCCAAAAAGGTAAGAAGAGTGAGGGAACCCAGACCCAGAGATGGAGCGACCCACGGTGAGTTTGGGAGAGGGGATGAGCTGTCTGAAGGTGACAGAAGGAAGACAGGAGACGAGGTGCTGCCCTCCTGTAGGTACCATCCGGGGTAACCAGCAGTTTGGACTTGAAGGACACTCTGGACTCCCACAGCGCCAACTGCGGTTTGAGTCCTGGACCTAGTGATTTGCTTTCTCAAGTCCCCCCCTCTCTCTCTTTCTGTCTCTCTTTGGTGAGTGCACATGTCCTATGGCACAATTTAAATAGTAAATGAAAATAAATATTTTTTTTTTTTTAGGAGAGAGATTTTCGCTATAGGGCATGTGTGCTCTCCAGAGAGACAGAAAGTGAGAAATCAGCCTGGGGGGGAGGGGGGAACAGTCACACTGCAATCTCTTCTCCTGGGATTTTGGGCATGCACACACTCCTAGCGTGAGTTCCAAGCCCCCCGAGTCCAGGACTTGAACCTTGGTGGGCTACGTGGGAATCTAGAGACATAACCACTTCGCCATCTGCTGGTCCCAAATAAATAATTTTTACAAAAAAATTCAAAAGCTAATGATGACTGCAGCTGGCTGGCCCCCTGCCTGGAAGTTTTCCTCCTGCGTCCCTCAGAAGTCTGAGCGAAGCCCTGTTATGGTGTTTAGAGATTGGAACGGTAAGGCACAGAGAAGAGAAGAGACTTAGCTGAGGTCCCCTAGGCGGAGAACTGAGACCCCACTCGGGGAGCGGAGGAGGGCCCCACGTTCCTCTTTCCCAGGGCCTCCTGACTCCCGCGGCCCTCAGTCTGCTGATCTCTAGAATGGGAGACTCCACTGACTTTTGGAGATCCTTCCTAGCTCTTGTTTGCTCGTTTATTGTTTCGTCTGTTTAAATTCTGGTTTGTTCGGGCCTGATCTAGGTGGGCAGTTGAGAAAACTACAAGATGGACTAGTTGAACAAGATAGCGACAGAGAGTCCAAGCAAGTTTTGGTGCTGATGTTTGTCCTTCGGCTTTTCCTGGCTTCGAGTTTACTTAAGTCAGTTCTACCTACGTGCACATCTGTCCGTCTCCGTAGTACATGCTTGAGAGCTCGCAGGTCACGGATGCAAAGTGTGTCTGTGGGGTGTATCCGCTGGTATCTCTGATCGTCGGAGGCGGCTGCTGAGCTGGGAATTGCAGGTGGATGGTAAGAACATCCAGGAGCTGTCGCACCTCTGTTTGAAGCAGCAGGCAAGTCACTCCTCACACCCGAGCGTAGTCCTCCCCTAGGACGAGCAGGGGACAGGACCACTGCCTGGGAAGTGAGTCTGCCCGCCCCCAGCCTCTGCGCCCCGCACCCTGCACGGTGCGCCCCAGCCCAGCCCCAGCCCGGGCCCAGACGCGGGCGCTGACTCCACCTCCAGGCGCCGGCTGGCTTCTCCCGCCTTTCCAATCGGTGCTCGGTCCCGCTGCAGCTGGAGTCCGGCCCCTGCTTAGTTTCCTTGTTTCCAAGGCAACTGACCAGCCCCACCGAGCCGGCAGCTGCGGGGCGCGGAGTCCCCGGCCACCGGGCCATCGCTGCGCGGCACGGGCTGGCTTCCTCGGGTGCTGGGGTGGGTGCCCCGCTGCCGCCCCGCGTGGCCGTGTCTGTGTGTAGGGGCGATCACCAGGAAGCCCATCGTCTGGCAGGCCTGACTGGAGCCTCAGCCACCTCTGGCCTGAGCGACAGCAGACAGGATGAATGCGTCTTCTCACTCACGCCCTGGCTGCCAGCCTCGCCTGCCTCTCCTCTCCTCTCCTCCTCTCCTCTCCTTTCTCTCTCTCCCTCGCTCGCGCTCTCGCTCCCCTCTCACGCTCTCCTCCTCCCCTTCTCCTTCCCCGGCATAGCCTTCTTAATGTAGTTTAATGGCTTTCCCAAGAAAGCCAGGCAGAGGAGCGCTTCTCAGTGGCTGTGGCCGGACCATGACCTAGCTGACCATGAACTTGGAGGGGCTTGAGATGATAGCAGTTCTGATCGTCATTGTGCTCTTTGTTAAATTGTTGGAACAGTTTGGGCTGATTGAAGCAGGTTTAGAAGGTAAGGGAGTGCTCTTTCAGTGACTTCTACCAATTCTGTTTTGCAATAAAAATTTCTGGATCGAATGTAAGAGGGGCCTGAAAGGAGATCAGATCAAGGTTACTCTGCTGAGCCGCGAACAGAAGCAGGTTTGCCAGGGTAGGAAAGATTAATCAAATAAACTTTCTGTAAGTTGCAGTAATGTTTTCATGCCGGAGGACGTTGAAACTGTGAGAGACACATTGAATCAAAACGGTAGAGACGAGACTGGAAATTGAGGGTGTGTAATGGATGTGTTTCTATTAGAGCATTGAAGTCCCTGCTGATGAGAGATTATTCTACCTCGTATCCCTGTGCATTGTATCAGCAAATTTTATTTGGGGATGTGGTGACGTCCACTTGTTTCTCACTAGGCAAATGCATTCATCCATGGAAAAGGATATACGTTTATTATTTCTTACTGTTCAAGATTGGAACCTAAGGATTACAAGCTTCTTCTGAGGTTGGCTGGACAAGCATTGAGTATATTCCCTGTTTTGTGTACTATCAGAGAGTCTAAGGAGAAAAGCTTCTCCTGCTTACAGGACAGACTAACATAGATTCCAAATAGCCAATTGTTTTTCAAGTATTGCTGTTCATGTTTATTAGAGGCTCATTTTCTGGGTCTCCTAGACAGTCATCTCTTTCTTCAAAAAACAATCAGGTGTATGCTTTCATTCCGTGTTTCTCTGAGAATCCGAGTAAATTTAGAGGATTATTGTCCTGCTGCTCAGAGACATCTGCGAGGGTGTTTGCACATAGGCAGTCATTGTTTCTCTCAAGTTGGCAGAGCAGTTTTTAAGAGCGTCTCCAGACGATGTTTGTGGTACTTACGTTTTTGCTATTCTCCTTGGTTTGAATTGTAAACGTGAGTAAAAATGAAAATACATTGTGTGTGTATTTATATCCACAACTCATCCCGTCCTCCAGAGAGTGGTGCCATGAAGTGACATAAGATTGCACTCACAAATAGCAAACATCAAATTAAAGTAAGTGTGCCACTCTGATGTAGGTTACCAGAAACCTACATTTATAACTGGCTGGGGGAGGGGGAGGAGTTGGGGAAAGCAGGTTTTGTTAAAGGCATTTTCAAGGAAGTTTGCTGAATGCTTTTTGCCGCCTTCTCTGGTGGAAACCTGGACAGTTCTGAAAAGAGGATGCACCCTAAGTTCTAGAAGTATTCACTCCCCTGTGAAATAGACTTTCTCTGTACACTACCGTCAAGCCAATGCCCTGATCTGGTTTCTCTGTTCATTAGTGTGTTGTTTTATCTGCTAACTGTGATTGGGATGCCTCATTTTAAAGCATTGGTTCTTACTCTCTCCGAGAGTGTCAGCGACATAAAATAGGGACGGATTCATAGCTGTGTCAGGGGACATGTTTTACTTTCTTTCATGGGCGGTGTGTGGCCATCCTTTCAAGATGTGTTTGGAGGGCTTCGACTCTGGGTTTTAGGATGAAATGGACCCTCGTGTTAGTTTTGTTGGTTTCAGGAGCAGAAATATTCACTTTCTCCAGAGAGAACTTGTGCCGTCTTCTTCCTGCGCTGCAAACGTTTCTGAATAGGTTTAATTTTTATTTTTCCTATGCATGATATTCAAAACTACTGATATGTGTGAACAGTTTTATTGTCGTATTGTGCACTTTATAACATAGCGCAGCCGACTTTGTCATATTACTATGGAAAAAACGAACTCTTTCAGAAACTTCAGTCTAAATTGCTATCTGACTCCAGTGTTCTTTCAGAAGCATTTTTGAATGTAAAATGTGGCTCACCACAGTCAGGATGAATTATATATTTAATGTGTAAAAGTTGATAGAGGCAGGAAACTGCGGTGCTTTCTGTTATGAAGTCTGTATAAGACTTACCTCCAAAGTGAATCTTAGCGTCTGAGAACCTTCCAAACAAGACTTGAGTTGGCATACTTTGCTTACTGTAGAATAAAATACGTGAATTGACTTCTATATCTTGTATATATTGTAGTTTTAATGAATAGATCAGAAGGTGCACAATCTAAAGTTATAGCCTAATTTCAATGAGCAGAAAGGACAAATGGTATCTTCATAGATTTTCTGAAACTTTCTTTAAAAAAATAAATAAATAAAACAAAAACCAAAACAAAACAAAAACAAATGCCCAAACTGAAGCTCTTTTCATTCAGATTTATTTTCACTTAGAAATTCCCTTCTCCCTTACCATTTCACATATCTAAGTTGGAGAAATAATTATTTCTTTCATCTTTCTTATTACTGTCTGCTCAAATGTCCTATTAAAGAATTCGAGTATTAATTAAGAAGTTGAACCTAGGTTAAAGCCTTATGAGGATGACCTTGAGGTTTTTTCCCTAAATGAGTGAATCTTTTCATCTCATCTTGTAACTGTTTACAGTGGAGGCATCATTCGAGTGTAGTTTTTGTTTACTGTATTATTATACATGCAATGTGCATTATATTCTCAAGGACATAAAATATATTGATTCTAAAATGTAGTTACTATCTTGCTTTTAATATGTATAGAATAAGTATACGTCAAAATAAATTGGTAATGTAAAAGTCTCAAATCCTTGTACTTTCTTATTTTTTGAGTGCTTTGACTTTCAGTTCTTTGCTGAAGACTGGGGATTGGGTCTTTGGATGTCCTGGGTCCTTGTGTTCCAGGGATGCGTGATTATGTATAAATACACAGGGTCACACGGAGATCCCAGTCATGTTTATAAACCCGAAGAGTTACATTTGCAGGTGACATTCTTTCCTATGAGAAAATAAACCCACCGCAGGACAGACCTTCAGCCTCTTCTCTTATTTCTTATTTCCTGACCTTGGGCAAGTCATTGAACCTTCTTAGTCATCTAAGTGAGAAAACTGCACTTGCTAGTCTCCATGAAACTTTCCATGCCAAAAATTCTATGAGCCTACCAGGTAACTAAATTGTAATCATTTACAGAGCACATACCTTTTCTCATGAAGTAGGTATCAGTGGCCTACTTTGGAACATGTACAGGGTGCAACAGTTAGCCCAGTCTTTCTTCCTCTGCCATGATGGGATGATTCGTCATGGCTCAGGGAAACATTCATTGTATTTTAGGAGAATACAGAAACTTCCTTTCCCGTAGTTATGCTATTTGATATTTGAGGTTGTTATATAAGGCATTTTTGTCATAGAATTTCTTAAAACTTATGGAGTTCCAGTGACAAATAACCACATCATGCAATCTTCTATTAACTTTGGGGTTTTGTAATTCAATTAAACTTCAGTAAATTTTATTTTTTAAAAAAAGTACTCTTCATACCAGGTCAGCAAACATGCAGATAGTAGTGTTAACTTGCACAAAGTTTTGAGAATAAGACTCAGTGTAGCCAATGTTTTAAATTTATGGGCTCTCTCTACTTAGTGAGGAGTTTAGGAAGCTCCATAATTATTCTGGTTTGGAATACTCCTAAAATCGCACAACAGTAAATTGCCTCTTTTCGTGCTATAAAATGAAAGTGTTTTGCTATTAATGCATTCCAGGGAGAAATTGAATCATAATTTTAATGGCAAAGCTATTTCATTATCTGTATATGCAACATTGGGCAGTGAAAATATCTCTTTTTCATCCAAATATGTATTAAATAATGCTGAAGTAGTTGCTGAATTAAAAAACAACCATCCTTCTACCAACCTTAGTGAAAAGCACATTTTTATAAAAATGTGCATGACTTGAAAAAAATCGCTTTTTATTGATAATTGTCTTTGATAAGAAGACCAAAAGGAAGCAACTGGTCATTTAAGTATTTTTAAGAATAAGCATTAGCGCTTGTCTTTATCGACTCCACTCACTTTAGTTAGCAGAAGTCTCTAACACTGTAATACAAACTTTCTCAGGAGACCTAAGCAAGATATTAGTTGTACACACAGAGATTAATTTTAGGAGCCAAGTTATGCATTCTCCTGTGCTCTTGACAGAAATATGGAGGTGTTAGATCTGTCAATAAATTGGGCTATTATAAGACAACATGGTGTGTCTTATTGTAATGCTTATGGAGGACCAAGGGGCTAGGGATGATGACTGGAGTGGGGAGGACTGTTATTTCCATCTCAAAGAGCTTAACTGAAATTCATAAAGCAGAGTCTTTTTCTAAGTCTCCTAGCTTTCAGTACTTCCCCAGATGCAATGCCAAGTTGAAGCTCCTGTGTATTTGAGTTATCAGAAAAGTCTGTCTCAACTGTAATGTTTAAAAAAGATAAAAATAATTCATAGTGCGATTAGAAAACTTAAGCATGCAATTTTTTCACACCATTTAGAAATGGAATAAGGGGAATCCAGTAGCCCTCTCTTATCCATGAAGGGTGCATTCCAAGATGCCTCCAGAGATGCCTGAAACCACACAGAGTCCCAAACCCTGCATGTACCATGTCTTATGCTAGACAGGAACATGCTGTGTCTATGGTTAAGCTTAATTTATAATCTAGATACAGAAATATATTACCAATAACTACTAGTGAAATAGAACAATCACAGCAATATTGTTTTATGATAGTAAAAATTACATTCATATAAAAATTGCATGAATCTGGTCTCATGTGCTCTCTCTCCCCACTGACTCTCAAAACGTCTTACTGTGCTGTACTCACTTGGGTAATACCACAGAGGAACACAGGTAACTAAAATCATGAATTGGAAAACTTAACCTAAGAGGAGGCTGGTACTTTGACCATTTGTCTTTGCTTAGGGTCTCTTATCGTGTGTGTGTGTGTGTGTGTGTGTGTGTGTGTGTGTTATCAAGAACTTTATGTATATTGTAAACCTAAAAGAAGACTCATGGAAGAAGAGAATCTAGTCTGTTCAGAGATTATTCTCAGAGGATCTGGAAATAAATGAAATGAATGTGTTACTTTCAGGAGAATTATCTACATACCTGACAAGTGTTTAGAACAATATAGTATAGTGTAAGTATATTGTTATCATAGTTAGTATTGTATGATATGATCTTATTTAATT